TTTCTTTTTCCCTGTCGTGACTCGTGTCATGACCCGGATAGAGTCTTCGTTTAGGGGGTCAAACACCCTCCTGATCCCTACCAAAAGCATCTTACAAAAGGGAAAAACAAACACCTGGATGACAAATTAGTTATGAAGCACTGGTATTTAATAAAGAAAAATTGTGGCTTCTGATGATGACAATAATCATGATACATTCTTTTTATTGAACGTAATGTTAAAACTGATTTTTGGGAAGCAGGCTGCAGTTGACTGTTTTGCATGAGGACATACGTTGAACGGTCCGGGAGAGAATATATATATTTCATAGTTTCACCCACGTCTGAATCCAGACAGTGTACCAAACAAACCACTGTACAATAATCTTTATGAAAAATAAAGACGTTCCATAGTTGGCTTATGGGCTGAATACTGCCACGTCGCCCAGGCCAAGGTAGGTGAATTTGCTTGACCAATTCACAACCGGAGGCTTCGGCTGGCCAAAGCCTGACCCGCAAGGCAGCGGGACGGTTTGCGAAAACAGCAATCCATTGGGGGCCGGTGTCCAGTTCATCGGATCATGCGCACTTCGGACGGGGTTAGACGTCCAAGGTAACCAAAACACCTCGATGCCCAATCAAGCCGGTGACCCTTGCCACAACCAGGGAGGTTCATACGCCTCTTCTTGGTTGGTTTGGAATCAGAGTTTTCGGCCAACTCCTCTAGGTAAACTACAAGTGGTTCACCAACTCGGTTATGGTCCCGGATATCGGCTTTTCGTATCAGTTGTATATGGCTGATAAATCTATCACATGAAACAAAATGCTTGCTCATAATAAAGTCAACCAACGGGAAAGAAGTTTAAGAGATCTGAAAAAGAGAATAGTCTTTCTCCTTTAGAATAGGAAACTATACAGGGGAACAGTACAGCCAATGTGGAAGAATGCATGCAGTTAGTCGGAGTCTCCTCACGTCTCCGATACAATTTGTCAATGAATATTCTTCAAATTGTTGTTTGGCAGATTCTGCATAGGGTTTCGGGAAGCATAACGTTTTTAACATTACTCACATTTACTTGTGAGTAGTGATGTGGGGTAATCGATGTTTATTGATTTGAACTGACCATCCTTCGGACGTTACCTTTACGTACTTCCGGATCAAGTTCATAAGTGTTGTCCGCATGTATGCCGATCCAAGTTCATGTCTTATTTCTATATCTTTTATTGCATCCCTACGCAATGGCTACTCACAAGTAGTGTGCCATCACTTACGGCAGATATATGCAAACCTGGCAAAACGATCTCCATAAAAGCTCCACTGAATAGCTGAAATCCCTCTTAGAAGGGTTCCCTTATGTGATCACTCCCCTACATACATCGAAGATGGACCCAGTGAATGTTTCCGCATGTAAAACATTAGCCCAAAACTTATGAATCAAGGAGGGTGGCAGTGCAGTACAGACACCTTATTGGTGAACGGTATATTCGTTCCTTGACACGAATGCAAACCCTTTACCAGACACATGAGCTTAGGCATAAAGCACAAACAAGGAGACCATCATTATCTCTATTTTATTCCTAGGCTCTGAAACACATCAATCCATTCCTTGAAGTAAGCCTAGCGTTCAACAAAACAGGGAGACAATGTAGTAGGAAGAGACGAATCTCACGGTCACAGGTTGTTGAGTTGGCTTTTAAGATGACAAAGGCAGAAATTGAGAGTAGGATAATGTATGCACATACACATACCGTTCATGAGATCGACTACTGCTGGCAGGTCACCAGACCAAGGATCAACGGACGATTCCCACCAAAGCTAGACTGATACAGGGCGTTACCAATTCGGTCAGATCATCAACAAATGGAATGCTTTCGTGCTATTCGTCACCTTACAGCAATATCTCACTGAGAAAAATTAACATCAAGACGAAGGCATTTTTAGTTGTTGGTGTTATTGAGCTGTTGTCGAATGCGAATTATACCTGTAAATTAACAACTTTATTCCGAATTTAGTTTAATTTTTTGAATGAAGACTACTTCTAACTAGGTAAGTTTGTGCACGCCTGTTTGGTCTTTGTTACTAAATGTAATTATAGAGATAAAACGTGCGCTTCGTTCTGTTGTAGAACGAAATTAAACGACGCTGTGGCAGTAAAACTAATTAGAGTTGTTCCAAATGCTGAATTTGCTTCGTATTCACGGAATTTAGAGTTGCAACAGAATGGATGAGAAGGACAGGGGTTCCCGGCTTACATTTTCAAGGAATTGAAAGGACGTAGGTTGATTTGGCATAAAAACGTAGTTTAAATTTAGTTTTTTACAACTACTAACTACGCACTTTCGCGTGCCGGTTTTGGTCGCCTATTTGGATTAGAGAGCAGAATGCAAATTGGAATGTTGAGGGCAGAGTCAAAGGGAAGACAGCGAATTCATTTAGACTAGTTTCTAGGACTACTGAGTAGATGTAGGAGTGTTACTTTATTCGATACTCAGCGTCTCCAACCAACGGTTACCACGATCTCGAGAGTGTAACGAGACCGGGTGTTTCTTCCCGCATCTTAGACTGACTACCCTTGACTTTTTTCCATCCACTGTTTGGCTCGACAAATAGCACCCCGCGGCAACCTATCTGGTGGCATGTGTAACATATGTCCCAACCAACGTAATCTATGGGGGTCGACCGCGGTTATCTAAAACTCTGCGTCTAACCTCGGCATTGTTCGTCCGGCTGCCCCACCAGATTGGTGCGATGCTGCGTAGAAAGCGGTGTTCAAACACCAACAGATTATTTTTGTCTTGTTTCCTTAATGGCCCATTTCTGCGGCGTATGGCAGAACTACCGCAGCATAAAAGCGACCCTTCATAGACAGCAGGATGTCGCAACGGTGACACAGATGTCTCAAGTTGGTAGATGCGACATCCTGCTGTCTGTGAAGGGT